TTTAGACAAAATAAGATTACAAGCCGCTGCCACTCCCAGACCATTTAACTATGACCATTGACGTCTTTATTTTCTTCTACGAACAGGCTTCATTTATTCATCGGGTGGTGGTTGTAATTATATTGCTGGAGAAGACAGCAACAGGGTCTATCAACAGCTGCAGTTTTGCACGTCGGATAAACACTGGTAGCTTTGTGCTAACCAAAGAATCATTCCAGGTATTTTACTGGAAATCAGTGAGGCCCCGGAAAGCATAAGACCACGCAAACTTATTCTGTGTGCAGAAGAAGTTCTTTCAAACCCGTAACTGACAAGACTAGCAGTTAAATAATCCGTCTCCCAAGGGCAGAATAGATCATGTTTGATGCTCGACAATACAGTTACTGCTGAATTAATCCAATTTGTTGCCTTTCCTCCGTACCTTATAAGCCTCACCCTTAACAGACCCGACATATCAATCTTCACTTACACATCCAGATTCAACCCCAATAGGTTGACTTGATGAGACACCACCTCCAACGGTGCACCAGATTGAATTTGCATGCGTATGTCGGTCGATTTATCTTATGAAATATGTCAGTATTTGTATCTCCACGAGGTCAATGCACAGGACAGATAAGATGTCCTTGGCATCGCTCACACCGTTCGACTGGCAGAAGATTGCGACTGGCTTAGTTGACGGGCGGTAACAACCCGATTTCGATGAGCGAAGTGGGATTAATCACAGAGACAAGATAAACTCACAGCCGTCTCAAAATTGTGCCTCATTCTCATTAATTCTCGGCCTCGTTCCGTTACGAGATCTCATTTCTTGCATGCATGAAAACTGGCCAGTGTTGTAAGATTTTCTGATTAGGTGACGTGAAGTCTCGGTAACCAGATGGCCCAAGAATGTGGTCAATGACTGTGAAGTGTAGCTCCAGTCTGGACTGGTTCCGTCACAAGGTGAGGATGAGGGCTTATGAGGAGTAGTAGTGCTGTCTCCATTTGCCTTCACTGCTCGAGGTAATTCATGAGCTTAGGTTTTCTGTCCTTCCATAAATCTGATATGTGGACTAGGTAGGAAGACCCGACCGAAGAACTCTCGGAGACACCATAAAGCTCTTTTTCATCTCTTTGTTTTCTTACCTGGACCGAGAATGGATATGCTTTGCTTTATTGCCCGTGGCTGTATTTAATATGCCTTTTTTCACTCTAACGTCCTAAAGTTTTAACCTCAAATGGATAGAATTATTGTTTCTCCTCCTGTTTTCGCTTACATATGATAGTTCTGCAGTATTCATTACACCAACTTTATAGTCCTCGGCTTTAGGCAAAATTTCATAATAATAAATTTATTTCAGGCCTTCTGGCATGACTTCATTAATCGGTTTGTCTGGAGGTGACTGGATAAAAAACTACTACGTTTCGGCAGCTGACTGTTCCTAATCAATTACCGCAACTTCAAAATGTTGGTCAGTTGCATTAAAATTGTTAAATATGGAGCTATGAATCTCAGTTGATTCAAATGATTATTTTACCGGACACTCGAAAGTAAGACAACTACACGGAATTGTATGTCTTCGTGATCTGTTCTTCTTATGACATGTACATTAATTTCGTATTTTACCTACTTCTGTTTGGCGGATGCCAGCCAATGTGTCTTTGCCCGAAACTGACGCTGGGAACTAATAAGAGTTGTTGGAATTAACACCTCGGAACAAAGCCTATTAGGCTGGCCTCGTAAATTAATATGTATATTTGAGTCCAAATTCCTTAACTACTGCCAACAGGCAGTTAGAAACTTAAAACCCAGACACGTGTGTTTCACCGATCTTGTAGTCCTGCAAGACTCAGTTATATAAGTTCCAATTGGTCAACGGTCCCAGTAACGATTCCCGGCTGCTTTCTGTTGCCAGCTTTTGGCTTGGACCTGAGCCATTAAAACGTTAAATTACACTGTATATGTGTAATACTGACTGCATTCTGACAGCTTCTGAATAGTCTGCGGTTAGTCTGCAGCAGCTGATGAATTTCAGCCCAAATATGCATATGAAAGTTCAGAAACAGAGTAAAAACTTTTGTTTCGAAGGAATTACTCCACGTTCATGCAGGTATTTTTAAAGAACTTAAGAAAGACAGCATAAAAACTGGAGTTCATATGCCATAAAGCACACAGGGAAGGCCGGGGGTCTCTGATGAAACAAACCCCCTCTCAGATGCCTCATACAGCAGCGCCAAATCAACAAGAAACGTGCATTTGGGTATTTATCTAGTACAGTGAGTAACCGAGCTCATGAAATGTTGGCTGAAATTCTGAAATGCATTTTCGATTAGAATGGATTAATTGGTCGCGGTTGTAATACTAATTATCTTACGGCATATTCTTATAGCATTTCGAACTCGGCAGGATGTCGGCTTTTAAGTGCACTTCTCTTCAATATCCTGTAGAAAGTGTACTCGGTAAAAAATGACTACATAAGTAGCATGCCTTCTTCCCATGGTTTTGGAAATTCAAATATATTTTATAGAAACTATAAACAAAAATAAGCTTTCTTTTAGTCATTTAATAGAAAATCACGTCTTCTTTATATTTTATACTTAAGAAAGGAACATAGATAGGTTTTAAAAAAGTTTTCTAATTGCCGAATAATTTGGAGCCTAATCATTCGTTGCATTAGCGCTTTGTGACTTCAGTCTACAAGGTGCGTGCGTTCCGCGTAAAGAAAATTACATATTTTTCTATGCCATTAAAGAGATATCATACAGAGTCCATAAAATTTTGCATTGGATGTGGAATATGTTGTACATTTCATGAGGAGCCGTGGTAAACGGCCAGGTACGATGCTATGTGAATGGACATTTCGCGGTCTTAAAAAGTCTCATAATTAGAAACTTTTTTAAAACTTAATTATAGTCTTTCCTTAAGTATAAAATATAAAGAAGACGTGATTCTCTATTGATTGACTAAAAGAAAGCATATTTTTGTTTATAGTTTCTATAAAATACATTTGAATTTTCAAGACCATCGAAAATAAATGGAAAAAATGTATGCTACTTAAGTAGTCATTTTTTACCGAGTGAGATTTCTACAGGAGATTGAAAAGAAGTGTATTTAAAAGCCGTCATGCTGCCGAGTCCGAAATGTTATAAGATTATGCCGCAAGGTAATCAGTATTACGACTGCGACCAAGTAATCCTTCCTAATCGAAAACGCATTTCAGAATTTCAGCCAACATTTCATGAGATCGGTCACGCACTGTACATGGGCGATCACTGCGGTAAATCATTTAGTTGGAAACTAAGTTGGAAAAACATGTCTTTAGCCATGTTTCCGAAATTCAGTTCTGTTTTATCTGAGCATATGAATAAACATAGGAAAGTGTTAAAACTGACAATTCGTCAGCACCGTACCAGTACTACTTTTGACTCAAAAACTGTTCTTCATTTGAAGGAGATATGTGAACCATCGGTTTTTAAGTCTGACGAGACAACAATCTGCAGCCCGTTTACACTTCCAATGGAATAGTTGAAAACCTTGAAAGATGCAGATTTACGGTAGAGCGTTATTTTAAGGATAAGAAAACAAACAAGACAAACCTAGACTTAAATTCGAGATAGCCAGTTCTTCTTATGTGTACCTTAGGCAGATGAAAATCCTACGGAGGATATTCCGAAGTTTTTCGCACGGGAATTGTGTTCCATCGTTTTTCAATTAACCAGGTCTGTCATTTGCAAGTACCTTTGGCCTTAAGTGCATATTTTGTCAAAGCTATGATAAAACCTTATCGATGCTAGGTTTCGTCCAGCCTCATTTTTATGAATACAGCTGAACTAGTCATCAATAAAACATTCTACTTCCCATAAACTACTGTAACATCTAGTATGGGATGTAGAATACTATTCACAAGATTAATCGCGGGCTTACTGTGGTACGAAAGACTGGTCGGTCTGACTTAAACCATAAGGCAACTTGCTCACGCTAACATCTTCTGGGGCAGTTCAAAGGAGTAGATATGGTTATTGGCTGGGGAGATCTCGAAGGCGACCGCCTTTTTGGCCTGAAAATGTCATCGGATAAGTTTCTTGTCCCCGTCGATCCTGCGAACGCTTTCTTGCTGGAGGAAACAAGTACTCTTTAAATCACAAGAAGTGAAAAATTAACCTGCTGCCCTATTTGCCGACCCTAACCGAAGTAATGAAACGACAGCGTGTGAAAGCGACCAAAAAGATTCGTATTTAAGTAGAAATTCTTCTAGAATACCAAATTCATACAAGGTCAAGCATGCGCAGCCACCTCAAATCACATCAGATTTCTTGTTTTAGCTGCAAATAAGAGAAAATTTCCAAGATTCCTCAATGCATTTACGGAGATTGTTCTGTGGGAACTGTACAAGATCAAGGACATTAAGGCATCGATCTTGTGTAGAATTGTCGCTGATGCATTTTATGACAAATGTCCGTGACGCGTTATGCTCACTTTGAGGCACCACAATTAACGGTTCACGTATGCACTGGATAGTTCGAATTTCCCTTCTCTAATCGAAGTGGAATTCTATTCAATTAACTTCACTTATGGAGGCCTAGTCGATAGTAAACCAATATTCTTCCTTTAACGAAATAAGACTATCAAGAACGGGCTGCAGGATAATTTTCAAATTGTTGACATCGGAATAATTGGGTTTAGATGACTGACGAGCAGTAGTTCTACAGCTAAGTCCAAAGAAATTGACTTGGTATTTGATGAAATTACCGCTTGCCACCAAACCACCTGTGCACAAGGATTCAGTTATCTGTCGGTAAACGCGCGTCCCTTAAAGTGTTTATCTGACTAATAGCACCGAAAATGTAAAAAACAACTCGTTTGACATGTCCGAAGACGCTAAGTGTCTTGGTGTGCTCGCAAATGTCGTTTGATCGTCTGTAACCTTGCACACCCTATTTCATTGGCTATAGATATCAGCATTTATAGTATATTTGGTCCTACACAAGGCCGACAAAATAACCCTTTCAAGAATAGGATGAAGTTCGTGATATACGTTGCCTTCTTGTTCCTTCTTTTGACGGTCTGCAGAGGCTCGACTGAAAGTGAGACGTACGTCCGGCGGGAATTGTGGAAGGCCTGGAAATTGGCCTTCAAGAAGGAGTACTTCAGTAGTGAAGAAGAACTCCACCGAAAGCGTGCATTCTTTAACAATCTCGACTTCATTATCCGACATAATCAACGCTATTATCAACAGCTCGAGTCCTATGCAGTGCGATTAAATGATTTTAGTGACCTGACGCCGGGTGAATTTGCCGAAAGATACCTTTGCCTACGGGGAATTGTTTTGACGAAGTTAAGACGGAAGGAAGCAGTAAGCCTGCCACTCAAAGAAAATCTTCCCGACAGCGTAAACTGGCGCGAGAGAGGTGCCGTTACATCGGTCAAAAATCAGGTCAGTTATTGACATAAATACAGTAAATTGCGATTATAGGAGTTGACCTCAGTTTTTTGAATTTAATTTGCTAGTGTTTCTTGATGCCAAGTTTCCCAACGAACCGGCCCTTTCTTAAGGTACTCTTTAGTATGCACTAACCGGGCCGATAAAATTGCTCGAACCAATTAATAGGCTCGCTGTGCGTGCATGAAATAATGTGAAATTGGCCGAATTATATTACATCTTGTACTTGTGTGTAAAGCTTTCTGATTATTAACTGCTTGTAGTTATGCGACCAGCTGTCTTGATTTTATCCTCGTAGGTTCAGAAATGAAGTGGTAATGCCAATTTCTAACATTGGAGTGGTGTCGACTGTGGTGTCGACTGTAGATATGTATAAGTGATATACATATGTATAGATTAGCAAGCACTAACCTGCGACAGATGGAGATGGCGATCGGTAATCCGTCATGAATCGCGCTTAACACTTAAAAGTTTCAGCCTGCTAAGTGGAGCACCCGTGTCTTAAACTACGGACCACTTGTAAGCTATATTATCCGACGCAATTCTGATTGCTGACAGATGTGTAATCACTGTCTAAAATTTTACCAAATACGATAGTCCGACTTAAGGCCTTTCTATTTCCAATAGCCTGTTTTGACTCCAATCAATACAAGTAGGCCGGACCACTTTTAGGACTGTATGAATCCGACTTAATTTCTGTGTTCTTCCCTCGTCCGCTCTCGAAAACGCAATTTTTTCTCAAACTATTTAAATCCAAACTGCTAGGGTCAATGTGGATCCTGTTGGTCTTTTTCCGCAAACGGTGCAATAGAAGGCGCAATCCAGATAAAGACCGGTGCATTGCGCAGCCTGTCAGAACAGCAGTTGATGGACTGCAGCTGGGACTACGGCAATCAAGGCTGCAACGGGGGACTCATGCCACAGGCCTTCCAGTATGCCCAAAGGTATGGCGTCGAAGCTGAAGTTGACTACAGATATACTGAAAGGGTAAGTCACACTCCTGGCATTTCCATCGCCCCCTCAATTGTGATGCTCCAACTGTATTTTTTCGCAACTGAGGTCTTCTGAAGGAGACGAAAATTATATTTCCTTACAAGGTGCATTTAAAGTACCTCAGTCAGGGAACAAGTCTTCCGTCCTTCGGCCACCTATTCCTACTTGAAAAGCAAGAAATCAATGCTTACAGCAGCAATTCGAGAATGCATAACGGCATCGGTATGTGTGGGACAGGCGGAAACTTTCACTACTGATACAACCCTAAATACAAGTACAGTATTTCCTAAGCAAATGAATTCCAAGCGTGCATTTAAATGTCCCAACTGTGTCTGAAAGTACCACGGCAGCAGAAAGTCCGTTCCAGATTTCAACGACTATGTACGAGAAAGTATTCTGTCAGACTTCCGTATGAGCCACCTTTACCCGCAGTTTAAGGAGGCAAAAAAGAGAAGGCTCGCTCTAGCCAGTTCAGTGAAGTCGTCGAACTGCTGCATACACTCACGAACTCGAACAATCCAATGAGTCTGAATGAGGTAATCACGCATTTATCTGTAATCTAGAGGAAAGAGATGAAGTTCACTCAGACTGGTTTCGTGTGGCAGAGCGCCAAGATTATTCACTACCTTCGTAGTGTTGGTCTTAACCCGTCCCGGCAGTTGGTAATCCAGTAGAGTTCTGGAATAAGTATTCCTACACTACAGGGTTAGAGTTAGGGCGAGGAGCGATAGGGCTAAGATCATAAATAAGAAGTGAGAACAGGTACATCCTTGGAATTCAATACAGGGCCGTCTACAGAGGGATGGAGACGTATTCTTCTGTCAAACTGACAATCCTTCTTGATCCACGGGCGTCAGGCCTGTCTACAGCACATGAGCTCGACCATTTCCATATTTATTTATACGAACGTTCGTCTCAATGCGAATAACGCATTTGACGCTGGTTTTTCTGTCTTTAAGCACCGCAACGATGGTTTAATCGAGAAGATCATAAAAACGCAATGTTATTTCATTCCTCAGCATTTGCAGGGGACTGCACAAGGGCGTATTGGAAAGAACCATCCTCGCCGTTTTTCTTCTGTTACGGTCTATAAGGACCATACATTTGTCAACGTCAAACTTTTGGAGCCAACGGGCAGACCGCCTACTAAGTCGGTCCAGACTCTCGCGAAGTGTGTGTTTATCTGCGTTGGACATGATGACATCCCGAAGTTTTACATCAGCAAACATGACGGCAATTCATCCTAGGTTGTCGACGCAGTTGTTGACTTGAAAGAGTGACAGGCCACGGACTGCTGCCTGTGAGACCACCTAAAACGGATGTAGGGCTTGACGCCAACACACATGGTTTGCCACTTTCTTGTATGGAATTCTGTGATCCATATTAATAGCGGGCCTCTTATTCCACTTTCAGAAAGTCGACGAATTATAGGTCCGCGTAGGACGTTGTCGAAAACCTTGAAATCGGCCAAGATTTTGTCAACACCACCCGCATTCTCCAATGCACGAGTCCATTGTTCGCTGGAAAGCAACGGACAGGAAAACAGGAATGGTTCTGTCTGATAACGTGTTGAGCCTTTAAAAGTAATTTCACCAACGAGGGTTCAAGCCACGTCATCTGCAAGTTCTGCGGCACCTGCCGGTGTTTACGCATGATAGCCGGACCTACTTACGGAACGGGGCAGTGAATCACTTAAGAAGAGTAATAATTATGAAACTATCGTTTTTCTTGTCGTCTATAGGATAAATCACTCTTCCTCTCATCGACGCCGATTCTTAGTATTACCTGGACCTCTTATCGATTTAGCTAATGTGGCTGACTACTAACCAAATACAATCTACTGCCGATCATACTATGTGATCGATGGCAAGGACATCTTCTCTGTCCTGGGGGTTGAGTTTTGAAGGTGTAACTCCCGAAATATTTCAGAAGACAAATTGACCAACATAGGTGTGTAAATTCGATCTGATGCCCCTTCGAGCGTAATGCCTCATCGCGTCATAATGCTGAAGTTAAATTTGAACGGGTAAATTGAGAAGAGTAAGTCCGGTCGGCTAAGTGTAGAGTTTATGATGAACTGAGCGTAGAGGGACAAATAATGACACTAATCTGGCTGTGAAGAAATTGTCAAGCCTCCCACGTGGCCTTTGCTGCATTTCGGAAGCTGACTAATTGGCTGTTTGTCATTGCAACTGCGAAGTCTCTAAGACAATTTTTGCGCGTGCAGAATTAGCGTGTGTGACCTGATGCCTTCCGCTGCCACCATGAGGCCCAGTATTGTACATGAAAGGTGTCCCTAGTGAACATGCAGCAGCCAATACGTACCGAACGTTAATGAACAGCAATTTTTCTATTTGCGATAGCAACTCCAGGAGCCCTAGGGGAAGTTGCTCTGCAGGATTCTGCGAATGGTCATTTATTATACTTTAAAATGACATGTCCTAAAGGGTTCAATTCAGCGTTTGTGCATACTTTTTACACGGAAATACCGGAGAGGATATCACATTTCCTAATATGTAACGTAAGTTGACGGTTAATGTACAGCGCTTGCCGTACACTTTTCCTTAACAAAATCGAATCTCTCTCCATGGCTGCTATCACAAGTGGCCATCGAATGCTGCATTAGATGTAAATTTGTAACGTGCGCCTTGCCAGCAGATTAGTCGAAAAAGTCTGCAAACGAATTGTGCATTTCTGGGGGTCGATGACTATCCCTTGCTTCACGTAAAACATCTCAACATAGGTCTAAGAGGTTAAATGCAATTAATACGTCTTATCCTCTGTAGGCGGCACTGAACTATTGAATAAATACGCATTACTTACTCAATAGCTTTTTCCCAGACAAGGTTTACCTCGTGGACTAAACAGGCTGAATTAACGTGTCTACTTGATTAAGAGGGAGATAGAAAATTCAATAGAGGTTATAAAATTTTCTATCTCCTCTGCATTTTCAACCGTCCTTGCCGGTGATTCAAAGGAAAATTATAAGCGTTCGAAATAATGTTTAGGGTAAAACCTTTGGTGAAAGGTATGCCCAAACGTTTCTGTAATTTCAGTGCATTCTAGATCATGATTCAGAATACTTTATGACTGACATGTTTAATTTGCACTCTGTAGGATGGGGTTTGCAGATATCGTCAGGACCTGGTTGTTGCCAATGTTACTGGATATGCGGAACTGCCAGAAGGCGATGAGGGAGGTCTACAAAGGGCTGTTGCAACCATAGGCCCAATATCTGTCGGAATCGATGCTGCCGATCCTGGGTTTATGTCTTACAGGTCAGATTATGGCAAGATTGATCACTGCTTCGATTAACATTGTTATTTCTCAACTCTAAGTCCTACACTTTTGCCCGGACTTTGTGATGACAACACTGATTGTCTCGGTCGTTGTATCTGAGTCTTAATTCTTCAGGATGAGTATATATAAACTAGTCTATCCACCTCTCGACCAGGCTAACAAACTCAGCAGCTGTCAGTCGGCTTGCAAAACAATTACTGTCACTGTCTACTGAGTTGCTTGTATGCTTCCCTGCGGAAACCTCGTTGTCAAACTCCCACCACCTCATCAGACATTTCACGTTCTTAACGCGCTGAATTATTCTGCCACAACACCTACGTGGAAATATTTTTTCTATAGATTATCATATCTAGAATCCATTCACATGTGGCATCCCAGCCTTCAGGGTTGCTTATTGTTTAGGGTCGTTGTTAGTCAGCACCAAGAAACCGCGGATGAAATATAAGCAATGGGTGTGCAAGTAGTTCATAATGGACACCGTAACGCCAGACTCTCTGTCTACCTTCATCTTCTTTGTTGCAATCTACCATAAGCCAGCTTGAGACATAAATAAAACCGTCTGGCAGCCTTTTAAATTCAGTGTGCAGAAATAAAGATCATGAATTTGTGCTCTAGGGAGAAATGCTAAGCGAATTTTTACGCTCTCAGGATAAAGGTCGAAATTGGTTTGTATGGGAGGTTTCCCCAGGCATGTTTACCATAACCGGACACAAGTAGATCAGAGCCTTCTTGAATGAGCACAGAAAGTGTCGGTTATTTCAAGATTGCAGCTTTCAGGGAAAGATCTAGTCAGAGTGTCAAATATATGGAACTTAGGCTGTGCCAAGCCTGGCTTCGTGTACTAACAGCCAGCCTGTGGATTATTGATCCTTTGGAGGTGGCGACAACGTTTTGCGATTCAAACACAAGCAAATGATGGAAATGGTCCCTAGAATTATTTAGTGAAGCATGAATGCATTGTTACTTGAAGCAATATGCTAATATCAATCCCCCTTAGGACGATTTCCCATGATTATACCGTTGACTGAATGGGGACTGTGAGGAGATTGAAATTTAAATGTACCGAAATCAGGCGTAAACAAGTATAAGTATTTGTGCCTAATTAAAAAGCAATTTCATCCTAAGATCCAGAAATTGTTTAATTTCTTTCGAAGGCTCAAAGAATCTGCCTAAGACCCATGACAATTACGAATATTTGATGTTAGTTACAATGCATTTTATGCGTGAGTGCAAACTGTGGTGTCGACTGTAAACTGAGTTAGTCATCTACTATGGGGTGTCTACAAAGTCATAATTTGTGATAGAGAAAACAGTCTTACTGAAAGTATAACTCATGGTTATCGTCTTAATCCGGTAAGAAAAGTCATTTGGTAAGCGGGCCTTGAAGCATCAGGCAACCGAAAATGGACCTTCAGCTAAGCAAACATAAAGTGATCTTCTAATTAGTAGTCTTCTTCATATGTTGATTTCGGATTACTAATCTTTTCAGCCACGGTGTTTTCGTCAGTAAAACATGCTCTCCATACGCCATTGACCACGGCGTTCTGGTTGTTGGTTATGGCGCGGAAAATGGTGAGGCTTACTGGTTAGTGAAGAACAGCTGGGGAAGCTCCTGGGGTGAGGATGGATACGTCAAAATGGCCCGCAACAGAAACAACATGTGCGGGATTGCCAGCATGGCAAGCTATCCAACCGTGTAATCACCTGTGGAGTAAATAAACATCTTTTGGTATCAAACCGTCTTCTCTTGTCCATATTAAATTTATTATTTCGACTTCCCAATAAGCTGCGCTTCCTCTTACCCCCAAATTTATTTATCCTTCATATAAGGGATAGTCGGCTTGGCCAATAAGTTATTAATCCGTTTTCAATAGAAGCCAGCTCCCATGATATGTGTTTTTATGTGTGTATTAACCAGCGTTCTTCTAACATCTTGTAAAGAACCCCTTTGTGCAACTCAGCTAACAGTTATTTTCATTTAACGGTTCTAATCTCACTTGAAAAACTGACCTGAATAACACTCGCAACATTCACGAAGTCTATTGGACATCTCACACATTAAAAAATGTATTAAACTGGCTTCAGCCCGAATAATTATAGTAATGGGAATCTTTGGTGGAGAGCTTGTTCTCGGCGGAGGCGTATTTTGTTCTCTTGTGAAAAATAAGCACTGAAATGTGTCTGAAGACCCCAATAAGTCCAAAGCTGATTGTTATAATCAGGAAGACGTATCCTCTAAAGCTTACAGATTCGATTTTCACAACATTTGGCGGGTCTGAGACTCTAGAGAAGTCTGTAAAAAGACCCGAATATGGTAGGATATAATGTTGTGGTCAAAAGGATTGTGGGACGCGCAGCAAATGCTTCCCACAAATGCTACACCTGCTATGCATCCAATAACTTCATCCTTTGTCATCTCTCACGCTGGGTCCAGTATGAATCCAAAAAGCCTAACGAATAAAATCTGGGATTAAAAGATGGAGTCTCCTCCTCCTCCTAGGATATACATCTGGCGGCAGAGAAGGATGGGAAAGTGTTCATACATAGAATGCTGGAAGGCGTCACAGTCCCATTTAAGTGGTTGGACTGTCGGAGGTGCAAAGGCCTAGTCAGATGATTTTTCAGTTCACTTGCCTCAGGAATGCCTGAACTCTGGAGAGATTGTGGCTATCCTGCTAAGGGACCGGTTCTGTCAACATATCAGATTATTCTCATGTCACGAGCGTCCGCTTTGCTATTTTCATGAATGAACTACAGTGAGTGGTCAATCTCATAGAATGTTGGCCAAAATTCTGAAAGGCGTTTCCAATTAGGAAGGATGACTTAGGTGGGGTTATAATGCTGATGAATCCGCGGAGTACTCCTATAGTATTTCGTTTTGGCAGGATGTCGGCTTCCGAATGCATTTCTTACCAATCTCCTGTAGACACCGTACTCTGTAAGAAATGACTGCTTAAGTGGCATGCATTTTTACACTGATTTTCGAAGGTCTTCTAAATTTAAATATTATAAAAAACATCAACAAAAGTGTTCTTTCACACTTTTGATAGAAAATCACGTCAGTTTCATATCTTATACTCGAAGAAAGAGTATCAATAGGTTTAAAAAAGTTTCTAATTATGAGATTTCTTAAGACCGTGCAGTGTCCATTCACACAACATCGTACCTGTCCCTTCATCACTGCTTCTCATGGAATGTACAACATAATCCGCATCCATTGCAAAATTTTGTAGACTCAATATGACATCTTATTAAAGACATAAAAATATAGGATTTTACTTTTGTAAAACGTATGCACTTTGTAGACTGAAATCACTAGGCGCTAATGAAACGGTTGACTCGCTTCCAGATTATCCGGGAATAAGAAAAAATTTCAAACCTTATGATACTCTTTCTTCGAGTATAAGATATGAAACTGACGTGATTTTCTATCAAAAGTGTGAAAGAACACTTTTGTTGATGTTTTTTATAATATTTAAATTTAGAAGACCTTCGAAAATCAGTGTAAAAATGCATGCCACTTAAGCAGTCATTTCTTACAGAGTACGGTGTCTACAGGAGATTGGTAAGAAATGCATTCGGAAGCCGACATCCTGCCAAAACGAAATACTATAGGAGTACTCCGCGGATTCATCAGCATTATAACCCCACCTAAGTCATCCTTCCTAATTGGAAACGCCTTTCAGAATTTTGGCCAACATTCTATGAGATTGGCCACTAACTGTATATGCAGCCGGCACCTGCGTGAATCGTGAGACGAGTAATAACAATAAACATAACATGCCGGAGAGGCTGACTGCTGTGAAAACGCGATAGAGGCTCCCGAAAGATAATCTTAGCTGAATTTCCTGAGGGTTTATTTGACGTTAAACGATTGATTAAAAAATTTCAATCCCTCTATGTTAATTGAAGTTTCTGTAATGCACGGTGTATGTGAATACCGCCTGTAACCATTTTGCCAAAATTCCTGCTACTCGCACAAACCGAATAAATTGTTGTTGCAGAACGCTTTTGCGTCAGCATAACTTTTAAGGGTCTTAAACGGACCTTCAAACTTAAATAAAACCACTAACACATGAACGCCTCTAGTTACTGGCCTGGAAGAAATCCCCATGTGCCTGTGCATGCAGCAACACAGTAATCACCGTCTGTGGTATCAAAGTCGGGAAAACTAGAAAAGTATTGCCTTTTCGATCGCAAGCTGTCGGGGTAGCTCTTGTATCTGCCACCTCGTGGTTGTCGCATGAATGTCTGCTGCGTTTTGCTAAACATGCGGCAGTTGGTGCTTTGCTTGAGTTGAAAGCGAACCGTTCCCGACTGCTACATCATACGCGTACGCATCAGTGCATATCATCGTACAAACTGATTACCAACATATAATGCGTCGGAAAACGATGTCGTATATAGTAATATTTAATTTTTATTTGGTCTTACTGACTTGATTACAGCATTTTGTTGTTGTCAAAACACATTCAATCGCAGAATTTTGCATAAAATCTCAACGTTTTGTTGGGATGGCACCATACATGAGTAAAGTTTCTGCATCCTGATACATTATGCCGTTCATCATTCCATATATATATATGCCTACATATAGGTCTATGTTATATTGCGTATATCATATACGTATATGAGAAGAAAAGGCGATTTATAGAATCATAATTGCATTCTCCTGACGTTTTAAAAGCAGATCTGCTTCCATGGTCGGAAGTGAATTTCGTACCGCGTCTCACAGTACTTTTAGGGGGATGGCAGCCACGTTAACACGGCGTTCATTATACGGGTTCATTTGAATAGTGCACACGGGGGCGGCCGTTAACGAGATCTGGCGTTCATCGTACGCATAAGCACAGGGATCGCCTCCGTAGTCGCCGGGGCTTAGTGGGCAGGCGGTGGACATCTGTCAATCATCTTGTCTCTCGGCGGGGGGGGGTGGGGGAAGGGAGCGTTTAGATGTTGCTGGCTGTCCCTCGCATCCGCATTGATCTTCGTCGACGTCCCCGGTCGTTAGTCCTGTTTGCATCCCTCTGGCAGCATCTCTCTCCGTCTGCCTCAGTAGTGGCTGGCGCAGCAGTATTGATGACGGCGCCTACTTCGGGCCGAGTTGGGATGTGGCTACCCGCGTGCCCTTTCTAGGTTTCCCCGTCTTTGGATTCAGGCATGCTCAATAATATCCCGACCAACATTTAAGACCTACTGTTTGTGGATTACTTTGCACAAAATATACCGAAGGAATCTGTCGTGCAAAGGTACACAGACCTCTTCACCTCTGCGCCAGCTTAGAACGACCACAAATATTAGGAAGGCGATGTTCATGCATCGACCTTCGTCAGACACGGGTTAAAAAGAACTCCAAATAACCTTCAGTGGAGCTCAGCTTGCCACTGTAGGCAAATGGATACACATGCGCAAGGCAGTCTTACGAAATGTCAGAATCGCGGACGAAACGGCTTCCTTGATCTCAAAAGTCCGCCCGGCATTTGTCTGGTTAAAAACCTCAGCGTGGAATCACCAAGAACTTGCCTAAACAAAGAAACTCAAGATATAGAGAGCGGCTTTTCTGACAACACTACTCTAAGGGGTGGAAACATCGACTCCTACGCTTACCAAACCAAGCAGCTGAATCATCCTCAACTTATCTGTTTTCACAGAACGTTAAAGCTGACGTGGCAAGACTGGATCCCCGACACGGAAGTCCCGGAACGGACCAGAATCCTCAACATCCACGCCATGCTAAGACAACGTCAACTGCGCTGGAGGGACCACCTCGTGAGGATGGATGGCGAGCGTTTAACCAAACGGCTCTATTCCGGCGACGTTGTTACGGGTTCTCGTCGAGAATTGGGGCAAAAATAACGCTACTAGCACCCTACGGGCCTTCATTAAGAATTTACAAATCATTTCGGACCGGCCTGTAGTAGAGCGGTGGAGAGTTGCGCGGAAATTTAGGAAGCCAACCGTCTCTCCGCTGCTAAGGACAATAGAGTAAACCGCAAGCAGAAAAATCCGTGGGCGTTCAACCCAAATTGTACACCACTGTCATCGAACACAACCGTCACGACGGTGATGAAGACTATCGCACCTCCGACATAGATCACCGTTGAGAACACTCGTGACTCCCCCACTCCCGCTACCAACGACCGACCCCACTACTAGCAATGCTAACAAGCTTCGAGCCTGCCCTCGTAGCGATCGCACAGTCTCATCACGTATCGCCCTTGTCAGTCACCTAGGAATGAACCCCATCAGGACTTGCCAACCAATGTCAGAAGCACCATCATCCACCCGCCACAGCTGTTCGCACCACCCACGCACATTCAGTCACAACATGCGCCTACTCGGCCACAAGGGGCTCCATGGAAATCTGCGGTAAACCGGATAGACCAAATCCAATCACACATCTCCCTACTAGCCCATAAACCACACACAAGCCCGTCACACATCACCCGCCACAGAAACGGAGTCGTCACCTCTTACGTGTCTGGGAACAGCATTCATCGGTCCCTCCCTGTGTGGATACTGTTGCACTTGAAGTCATGTGCTATCCGAGCAAAGCACTCCTTCTGTGTGCAAAAACCTGGTTTTATGTGGAGCCAGGTCTTGTGTGGCACGTGCAGATGGGCTGTTTAGTTCAGCCAATCATTTGTGTCCTATCTTCGCACCAGATAAGTGACCAGCTAGTGCAGTGGAGTAGTGCCAG